TATATGCTTACAGATTTTCGTTATAGAAAATAGGTATTTCCATTTGAAAATTGAAAGTTTATAGTGTTTTACTAAATAAGGGAGGTAGTTAAAATTATAACACATTGTAAAACAGTAAAATCTATWAAGTTWAAAAAAAAATTTATATTAAAATTCCTAATACTTACCGAGATATTTACTGGTTCATGATAAAAGAATCACCCTGTATATATATATAATTTATTTATTTTAATGTTATCTTCCTATTTTTAGGTGCATTAGAAAATGTATCAATAACTTCATCAATATTTAATTGTTTGCCTTCATCTTTTTCTATTGAAATTATACTTAAACTGGACATTAAGTCATGATTCATAGAATTTCTCAAGTAGTTTTTCTCAACTCTTTTCATGCATGAAAATGTGCGTTCACAAGCTGCCGATAAAACGGGGATTGTAATTACTATACTACACAATTTATACATCTCAGAAAATGCTATTTCATAAAGCTTCAAAAAACTATGAAATTGGTATATATTGTTTATAGAAGTATTATTTATTTTTTCATATTTTTTCAATGCATTTTTTAATATATTTAACTCAGATTTGATACTACTGCAATCAGAAGAATAAGGTATAGCTAATGGTTCAATATCATCATATTTCAAAAAATGTGGAGATTGTGGATGTAATGCTGTAATACTACTCAAGAACTTTTCATTATGCATAAATCGTTTATCAATTTCAGAAATCATTCTATCTAAAATAAGATTATAAATATTTACTTTATAATCATCTTCTGATGTGTTGCTTTGTTTCTCTAAATTTTGAACAGTACATACACATTTTTCCAAATATTTAGGCACTTTTTTGGCTCTGTTTTGTTGTTGTTGATCGGATGGAAGTTTTATACTTAGTGAAATAGCTTTCTTCTCTACTTCTTTATACAAATTGTGATGGGCTTCCTGATTATTTCTAAGATTATTAAGTGATTCATTAGTTGCTTGTATTAAAATAATAGCTCAACTTATATCTGCATTTACATCTTGGAGATATTTAATAACAATATGAATTTCAGACAGTAAATCATTACATAAATATATAAACTGGAAATCGATCATATTCAATAAACCAACAGCTTCTAAAGATCTATCTGGTTTTTCTAAAACTATATTATTTAAAAGCAACAAAACAATATCTAAAACAGATTTTAAGGCTCTACAAGAATGAATTTGAGAAGACCATCTAGTCATACATAACCGTTTTAATTCAATAGGTTTACATTTTCCAACTTTTTTCTGTAGCTCCATAAATTTACTGTGTATTGTTGATCCAGACATGAAAACATAAATATCTTGAAGTAATAAAAAAAATTTATCGGCTTCTTCTACATTTTTAGCTACATCTACTAATACTAAATTAAGTCTGTGGTTGTTACAATGAATATAATAAGTATAGGGAACTTCTTTTCTGAAAAGTGCTTGAACACCACTAATATGTCCCCTCATCACATTAGCACCCTCATACGTTTGTGCAACACACTTATTTATATCAATTTTACAATCACATAATAGGTTTTTGATATGTACAAATAAGGAGTTAGCATCTAATTTTTTTAAAGGAGTAAAACCTAAAAATCTTTCTTTTATTTCACCTTGGCAATAATATCTAATTACTATAGACAATTGCTCCGTCTAAGTAATATCTTTAGTTTCATCGGCCAGTGTTTCGATTATTGTTTTAGAGGTTGCTGTGCCTAGGGGGTAAGCCTCGGTCCACCTACTAAAACAGTCGGTTGCTACCAGTATGTACGATTTTCCCTTACTGGAACGTGGATATGGTCCCATCAAATCGATACTGATAACTTCCCATGGTTGTCGGGGGGTTCTGGGTTGTRTCGGATCGTTTGGGCGCGAGTTAAGTGGTTTCGTGCACGCGCAAACGTGACATGCACCGACATATAACTTCACGTCGTTTTTCTGACCTTTCCAATAATACCGTTGTCGAACCGCCCTGTATG